AGCAGCCTTGTCACCTCCCTCGGGCTGGAAACACCACAAACCTCTGCCCCTGCCCTGCCCTCTGACTCCAGGCCCCACGAAGGCCAACTTGGTCTTTGTCGTCCCCAGGACACCCTCTCTCCCTCCCTCCTCCCTGTCCTGACGCCCTCTTATGCCCTCTTGCCCCCAGGAAGGGCAGCTGGCTGGCAGACAAGGTGAAGAGGCTGATGCGACCCCGGCGGGAGGGGGGCCCCCCTGGGGGGCTGCGCCGGGGGGCCGATGGGGCTGGCAGCACCGAGAGCCTGGGGGGCCCTCCAGAGACAGAGCTTCCCGAAGACAGGGAGGCGGATGGGACAGGTGGGTCTGGGAGTCAGGTGGCCAGGATGGCCCCTGCCCTACATCCCCCGCCCCCGCCTTGGTGCCTGCCTCACTGCTTGGCCTGTGTGCATGCCCCCACTGGCGTTCTCTGAGGCCTGCCCAGCCTGCCCTGATGCCACCAGGGGCTCTTTGTCCTGGGCCCTGCAGGGTTGCCCTTGGCCCCCACCTCCCTCCTACCTGTGCTGTCCCCACCCAGCCTGCCCCATCCCCAGCGGAGCCCAGGATCTGGGAGGTGCAGAGGACCTCGGGAGAGGTCACTGATCTAGACTGCAGATGAGGAGACTGAGGCCCGGGGAGGGGAAGCTCCTTGGCCAAGGTCATGCAGTGAGTTAGTGTCAAGGCCGGCACAGGGCCAGCCTCCTGCTGCCCCCCTCATTTGCCTGGCTCCTCCCCCACCTCTGCACCTCCCCTCCCTGACCCTGGGCAGCTTCACCCACTGGCCCCTCCACTCCACCCAACCCCTGCTCCTCTGACCCTCTCCCTGCATGAGCCTCAGCCCCCCTCCCCTCCCCTCCCCCCCCCCCCGCATGAGCCTCGACCCCCCTCCCCTTCTCTGAACCCCTCCCTGCATGAGCCTCAGCCTCCTCCCCTCCTCTGACCCCCTCCCTGAATGCGCCTCTTGCAGGGTCCCCTTCCCCGGCACCCATGCGCCGGGCCCAGAGCTCCCTCTGCCTGCGGGACGAGACCTTGGCAGGTGGGCAGCGGCGGAAACTCAGCTCAAGGTTCCCGGTGGGGCGAAGTTCTGAGTCATTCAGCCCTGGGGACACCCCCAGGCAACGGTTCCGACAGCGTCGTCCAGGTCCCCTGGGGGCACCCATCTCCCAGGGCAAAGGTGAGGGAGAAGAGTCACTGTCCCAGCCAGCCCCTGGTTCTCTGTGGACCCACCAGCTCCTTGGGGGAGGCAGCTTCCTTCTTGTCCCCGTATCTCCTGCAAGCCTGCCCACTTCCGCACTGGCCCGGGATGAAGTGGTTGCCTTGTGCCTCACAGGAACCAGTGTGGGATGGGGGAGCTCCGTGGAGACCCTCCCGGAGCACGAAGCAGACGCCAGCCGAGAGGGTGAGTGGGGCCTGCTCGGGGCTCTTTGTCTGCCCGGGGCCCCTCCTCTGACCCCTCCCCTGACCCCCTCCCTGCATAAATTAATGCCCTGGACAGATGGCATTAATCCATTCTCTCATTTGACAACGATGCTTTATCAAGCACCAGGTGACATGCTAGCAGGGGACACAGCAGGGAAGGTTCTGGTGTGAGGAGGCAGATAGCAAACAATTTGCCTAAAAATAATTATTATCTACAACAGCCCTGTCCACTAGAAATATGGTGTGAACCACACGATAACTTTAAGTTTTTCAGTAGCCTCATCAGAAAAAGTGAAAAGAGACAGTATAATGAATTTTAATAACATTTAACTCAACGTGCCTATGTGTTCACCATTTCAGCATGTAGCCGGCGTAAAAATCATGAATGAGCTATTTATTAGACATGATTTTTTCTTTCTTTCTTTTTTTTTTTTTGATGGAGTTTCTCTCTTATTGCCTAGGCTGGAGTGCAATGGCACGATCTTGGCTGACTGCAACCTTGGCCTCTTGGGTTCAAGCGATTCTCCTGCCTCAGCCTCCCGAGTAGCTGGGATTTCAGGCATGTGCCACAGTGCCTGGTTAATTTTGTATTTTTAGTAGAGGCTGGGTTTCTCCGTGTTGGTCAGGCTGGTCTCGAACTCCTGACTTCAGATGATCCACCTGCCTCAGCCTCCCAAACTGCTGCGATAACAGGCGTGAGCCACCATGCCTGACCAGACATGATTTTTTCATATAAGTCTTTGGTACTTTAGGAGGCTGAGGCAGGCAGATCACTTGAGGCCAGAAGTTTGAGACTGGCCTGGCCAACGTGGTGGAATCCCCTATCTACTAAAAATACAGAAAGTAGCCAGACATGGTATCTCATGCCTATAATCGCACCTATTTGGGGGGCTGAAGCAGGAGAATCGCTTGAACCCGGGAGGCGGAGGTTGCAATGCCCTGAGATTGTGCCACTGCACTCCAGCCTCGGTGACAGAGTGAGACTGTCTCAAAAACAAAAGCCAAAAAAGCGTAGTAGGTCTTAGCAGAACGTCACAGGCCAGCCCCATCTCACCTGCTCAGCTCCGCCCGGGGCAGCTCAGCCCTAGACTCCGACAGACCATCAGGAGGCGCTAATGCTCTGGGAAGAAAGGAGAGCGGGGGAGGAGTCTGGAGCTCTGGTCGGGCTGGCTGGAGTTTTAGTAGCTAGGGTGCTGGGGTGGGCCTCGGAGAGGAGGGGAAGTTGGAGCAAAGACTCGGGAGGAGTGGGGAGAGTTTGTCGTGTGAACGTACCTGAGAACAGCATTCTGGGGAGCGGGAACCGTGGAGGGAAGGCCTGGCGTGTTTGAGGACTGGTGGGCGTGGTGCAGGTGGAAGGGGGAGGTATTGGCAGGTGGGGGGTTGGGCAGAGGATTCGAAGGCCTGTGGGCCTCCTGGGACCCTGGGAGTCCTCCTGAGGGAGGTGGGTCTGAGCTGAGCCTTTCCCTCTAGGCCCTGAGGTACAGGAACCGGAGAAACGTCCTCTCGCCCCATCCCTCAGCCAGTGACACCGTGAGGACAGGGGGTTTGGGAGCACAGCCCTCTCCCCGCTGGAGTGTCAGCGGGGGCCCCAGGCAGCCCAAGAGCTCAGGGAGCCAGGGCCCCCTCGGGGAGTCCTGGAACAAGGAGGCCTGGGCCCGGCGATGGAGCTGGGACGAGTGTGTGGACAGCGGGGACGGCTGGCCCCCACGAGCCACCCCAGGCTGGGGTTCTGGCTCTTCCAGGCAGTTCCCGCTGAGGCGGTGGTCTCTGGGGCATCCCCCAGCTGAAGGAGGCTGGCAGGAGTCAGCAAGAGAGCCCCCGGCCCCGGCCAGGTGGGGAGCTGAGTCCCAGTGCCGGGGGACTGTGGCCTGGGCTGACCTTGAGCCTTAGCTGGGACTTGAGGGGCATGAGAATAAAGCTGAACTGCAGCTACCTGAGTCTTGCTCTGTCTGCTGGCCGCATCGGGTTCCTTGGGGACACATGCAGCCCCAGTCCTCCGGCTGGCAGGGATGTGTGGCCAGAGGACCCCTGCCTGGATGGGGCAGCACAGGGCTTTCTTCAGCGGCTTGGCCAGTCTGCCAGCCAAAGCCCGGACATCCTGGTGACATGGAGAGGACATGGCATCCTGGGTGGCCAGCAGGGACTGGGGTCGAAAATCTGGGCTCAGGGGTGTGGCCCACCCCCACCCTCTCCCAGGGCACCCTCTTCTCTCCATCCATATCTTCCTCCTACCCATCACCCCTCCTTCCTTGAGGTTGAGCCCCTCCCCAGGGAGTTCACGGTCCAGTGGGGCATCACTTAATGCCAGGGGCTGCCACGAGGGGTAGGAGGGACGCTGGCTCTCTGATCAGGGCTTCTAGCACGGTGCCTGGGAAGGGGGGCAATTAGGTTGGGGTGCAGGATGTGAGTCAGGGTACCTGGGGCCGGCTAGGGAGGGTGGGGCTGCCCAGGGCTGAGATGAGGCAGCCTGAACTTGGGGAGTGCAGAGCTGGGCGGGGTGGCCCGTCCAGCCTCCCCGGTGTGACCTGCAGCAGCCTGAGTCCCTCCTCCTCTCAGCCAAGGCTTCACAGGACAGGGGTGTGGGGTGGGCCCCCTGGCCTCCAGCTGGTAGAGGAGCTGAGAGCCCCTCCCCACCGGCTTCAGGGGGTGGGTTCTCATGGTTATGTCACTGTGCTAGGTGGCCTGTTGGTGGTCAGGAAGGGGAAGGCAGGAAGAAGAGGGAGCAGAGGCTCAGGAGGACCAGTCAGCAGGGGCCCTGGGCCTCGCGGGGAGGGGCAGCCCCGTGTGGTGCTGTTAGCCCTTCTTGAGGCCTACTCAGGTCTCTAAGCTGGGTACTGCACGGAGCTAGGAGACCACAGGGGAGGACACACGAGATGCAGGTGGCGCATAGTGGGAGCTGCACAGTGGCTGGAGCTGCCGTGCTTCTGCAGGCCCCGTCTACAGAGAACTGGTCAGAAGCTGGCCACCCCTCCTGGCCATGGGGTCTCAGGCTTGGCTCCAGCCCCCCACTCGGTGACAAGGCTCCTCCTTGTAAAGGCCAGTCTGCTGGGGAGAGGGACCTGACTGGCCACCCCTGGGACGATGGAGTGGGGCGGGCCCCACTGCCTGAGAGCTCAGTGACTTCCCCTCTCAGTCTGCCCAGCACCAGGGCCGAGGCCACAGGAGTGAGAGGTGCCCCGGGGGGAGAGAAGTGAGGGGGAGAGGTGTGAGGGGGAGAGGTAGGAGGGGGAGAGGTTCGGCCTGAGCCTGCCAAGGGGACTATGTCTGCCTTTCCCTCCTGGCTGTGGTCGAAAGCATGAGGTCACACATGGGGCTGCTGGGCTGTGATTTTTATTTAGTCCTTCGCTTCCCGTGTGTTGAGAGAATTGGACAGAAGACGCCTGGTTGCCCTCAGGGCTGGTGCTGGTGGAAGGAGAGTTCTTTTTTTTTTTTCTTCTTTTTTTTTTTTTAGAGACGGGGTTTCACCATGTTGGTCAGGCTCATCTTGAACTCCTAACCTTGTGATCCGCCCGCCTCAGCCTCCCAAAGTGCTGGGATTACAGGCATGAGCCACCGTGCCCGGCCTGGAAGGAGAGTTCTATAGACACCTGTGGGAGCACCCCGCGCCCCTACCTTGGGGCACAGGCTCCTGGTGTCCTCCGGCCACTAGCTGCAGCAGGCATTCCCGGGCAGACCCCTAGCTTGGGGACAAACGCCCCAGAGGCTCCAGGTTCCCCACGGGCCCGGGGCTGGTTCCCACGGGGTGTTTTCAGTTCCCCGGAGAGTCGAGTAAGGTCCCGGAGCGCACGATCCTGAGGCCTGTGGGGGATTGGGGGGCTCGGGAGACGGGGCCGCCCCAGCCAGCCGCCCACCCGCAGACCGGCGCTGTCACGTTCCAGCCGCCTGACTCAGGCCGCGCAGGGCGGGGAGCCGGGAGGCGGCGCCGGCGCCCGCCTCGGCCCCGGAGGCGGCACCAGGAAGCGCCCGCCCCGGCCGGAGCCGCCATGTAACCGGCGCCGCCCGGAGCCCGAGCCGCGCGGGCCATAGCGACCCGCCCGCCATGGGGGACGAGGACGAGGATGAGGGCTGCGCCGTGGAGCTGCGGATCACAGAAGGTGGGTGTGGGGCCTGACCGAGGCTGCCTGGAGTGGGTCGGGCCGGGTCATGGACCGGCTGGGCTCATTCGCCCCCTGTGCCCGCAGCCAACCTGACCGGGCACGAGGAGAAGGTGAGCGTGGAGAACTTCGAGCTGCTCAAGGTGCTGGGCACGGGAGGTGAGGACCCCCATCCACGGGCAGGCGTCCCAGGCCTGGTGCCCCGGACCTCCTGCCTGCTCACTCCTGGGCCTGGGCCAGGGCCAGGCCACTGGTCAGGCCCCCCACCCTTTCCCGGCACAGCCTGCCTTGCCTGCCCCGCCCTGCCTTGCCAGGCTTTGCATGCCCACTTCCAGGGCACTCCACGTTGACATCGCTCCTCCCTGCAAGGTCCTGTGCGTGCATGCCCCCCGGATTTGCCGACACAGTGGGGAGGGGGCCTGCACCCGTCCCAAGTGATTTGCATAGCTCCTCCCTTTCGGCCAATATGAGCGCCCCCTCCCACATTTGGCAAATGCTCCAGCGCTGGTTTGCACATCCCGTCCCCAGCCAGGTGCACACCTCTGTCTCCCTCATGTGCACCTTTTCACATCCATCTGGTCGCTGGCGGGTTTGAACATGCCCCGCCCCCACGCCTCGCTGCAGGCCCCCTGGAGTTGCTGCTCCCCACCAGCTTTGCACATCCCTTCCCTGGTTTTGCTGGGCACCTTCCCGGGCTGTGCACACCCTCTCCTTAGAAGTCTCGGCCAGCTTTTTGCACACCTGCCTCTCGCCCCAGCTCCTTCGCCTAATTTGCACACCCTCCTGGGTTGGCATCGCCCCCACCCCCAAGCCTGCACCGCTCTCTTGCTCACCGCCTACCCTCCGCCCACTTGCTGCTCCCACAGCCTACGGCAAGGTGTTCCTGGTGCGGAAGGCGGGCGGGCACGACGCGGGGAAGCTGTACGCCATGAAGGTGCTGCGCAAGGCGGCGCTGGTGCAGCGCGCCAAGACGCAGGAGCACACGCGCACCGAGCGCTCCGTGCTGGAGCTGGTGCGCCAGGCGCCCTTCCTGGTCACGCTGCACTACGCTTTCCAGACGGATGCCAAGCTGCACCTCATCCTGGGTGAGCGCACGCCACGTCCCTACGCGGGTGGAGTGGCTGGGGGCAGGCGAGGCCACCTGATGGGGCTGCATCTTGACTTCCACTGCACCTCCCAGACTATGTGAGCGGCGGGGAGATGTTCACCCACCTCTACCAGCGCCAGTACTTCAAGGAGGCTGAGGTGCGCGTGTACGGGGGTGAGATCGTGCTGGCTCTGGAACACCTGCACAAGGTGGGTGACGACCTGGCCACAGGCTGTTGCCATGGGAACTGGGTCTGGGCCTTCCAATAAGCCTGCGTGCTGGGCAGCCTCAGGCTTCCCCCTGGGGTTCCTGGGGGCCAAGTGGTGAGTGGGGTGGGAACTGGAGCTGCTTCCCCAGGACCCCTTGCAAGAAGCCTCAGTGTGGCCTGGCGGGGGTCCCCTCCCCTGGCACCTCCTTGAAGGGGCTTTCCTCTTTCAGGGAACTTGGGCTGTGTTCACAGAACTTCCTCAAATGGAAACCTCACGCCCTGGCTCCCAGGGCCTCCTGGAAATGGGGCTCTTCACACAGACTTTCCTCTCTTTGGGACCTTAGAGCCTGTCCCACGGGTCCCTCTTTCCTTGCTTGATATCTTAAATGGCCTTTCTTATTCAGTGGCTCTGCCCTGAAGACCCCTCTACAGGCAGATGATCTTCTCTGGGGGGGTCTCCTTATCCTGAGCAGGCCCAGGAGCTGCAGGGGCTAGGGAGGTTTGGGGGAGGAAGCCTCAGCGCTCCTCTTGCTCCTACCAGCTGGGCATCATTTACCGAGACCTGAAACTGGAGAATGTGCTGCTGGACTCTGAGGGCCACATTGTCCTCACGGACTTCGGGCTGAGCAAGGAGTTCCTGACGGAGGAGGTGAGTGGAGGCTGGCTCTGCCTGTGGCGCCCCATCCAAGGCTTCTTCCTGCCTCTTCCTGCTCTGGGCCTGCATTCTGGGGGTGCAGAAGCGAGTAACTCCGGGACGTTTCCACGGCTCAGCTCCAACCTCACAAGCTGAGCAAGTCCTACTCTGGGCCTTGTGGGGCGTGGGGGCACAGCAGAGGCTTCGACATCCAAATGGGACCTTTTGCCCTCCCAGAAAGAGCGGACCTTCTCCTTCTGTGGCACCATAGAATACATGGCCCCCGAAATCATCCGAAGCAAGGCGGGGCATGGCAAGGTAGGTTGGCAGGGAAGTGGAGCTGGGGGAGGAGGAAAGGGGGATGAGGCAGGGGAGACGCAGGCCCTCACCCTGGCTCCCCATGGCAGGCTGTGGACTGGTGGAGCCTGGGCATCTTGCTCTTTGAGCTGCTGACGGGGGCCTCTCCCTTCACACTGGAGGGCGAGAGGAACACACAGGCTGAAGTGTCTCGGTGAGTAGGGCTGGACGTGCAGGGCGCCAGGGGGCTGCAGGGCCTGGTTGGGCAGGGCTGTGGGGGGGGGGCTCGCTGCCCCTGACGCCCCCCCAATCCCCTCAGACGGATCCTGAAGTGCTCCCCTCCCTTCCCCCCTCGGATCGGGCCTGTGGCGCAGGACCTGCTGCAGCGGCTACTTTGCAAGGATCCCAAGAAGCGACTGGGCGCGGGGCCCCAGGGGGCACAGGAAGTCCAGAACCACCCCTTCTTCCAGGTGAGGTGCCTGGCTCGGGCCCCACACCTCCTGGTGCATGCCCAGGCGGGGCTGCTGCTCCAGGTGGAGGTTGTGCCTGGTCAGTTTCACTCGATTTGGAAATCCCCCCAGAGAAAGAAAGCAAGTCCGGTTTCTCTTCGCATCCATCCCCACTGAAACTTGGCAGATGCATTCCTGAAAGAAAACATTCTAGCTTCGTTGGCTTTTGTGGCTCTCAGGGACTTGAGAGTGGATTGGTCAGTCCTGTCATTGGACAGACTCAGAGAAGGCAGGTGACCTGCCCCAGATGGCACAGTAAATGGTGCTGAGCTGGGAACAGGCCTTGGCTCTAGATAGATCTCCTGTTGGCCCAAATCAGTACTAAAACCCACACTTATGGCTCTCAGCACCCGCCCAGGCATTTTGTTCTTTGTCCCTGTCCCTGTCCAGTCTGTGTGCCTGTCATTCAGGTGGACGGTGGATCGCCACACATGGGTGTCTGCTCGCTTGTTAGGAGCACACGCACGTTAGAGTGCAGGGCAGAGTGAATCTGGCCTCGTGAGACTGCACTGGCAGGTGCTTGGCCTGGCCAGTGTCATCACCCAGCAGGGCCTTGTGACAGCGAATGCCTACTGTGTGTCAGCCCTTTGCGGACATGAGTTCATATCACCCTCACAAATACCTGATTCTTATTTTTTAGACAGAGTTTCACTCTGTCTCCTGGGCTGGAGCACAGTGGCTTGGTCTCAGCTCACTGAAACCTCCACCTCACGGGTTCAAGCAATTCTCCTGCCTCAGCCTCCCGAGTAGCTGGGATTACAGATACGTACCACCACCCCTGGCTAATTTTTGCATTTTTAGTAGAGTTAGGGTTTCATCATGTTGACCAGGCTGGTCTCAAACTCCTGGCCTTAAGTGATCTGCCTGCTTGGTTTTCCAAAGTGCTGGGATTACAGATGTGAGCCACTGCGCAGGGCCTCCTTCTGCCTGTTTTTGGACAGCTTCTTTGGTGATAGCAGTGCGGAGGGCCTTGGTGGTAGAACTGGGGCCTTCCAGCCTTAGTCAGTCATCTTGGCTGCAAGTGACAAAAAGTCCATATCAAAATGGTGATATCTGTTGGAGTAAAGTTTGGTGCCAGCAACAGAGATCAGAATGAACAGTGATCTAAACAAGATACAGGTTTCCTTATTTTTCTTCTCACATAAAAGAAATCCAGATTAGCAGACCAGGGCTGCAGTGCCATGTTGTCTTCAGGAATCCAAGCTTTTCTTTCTTTCTTTTTGTTTTTTAATTTTTTAAAATTCTTAGCATATAGCTTCTATCCCCAGGGTTGCTTCATGGTCCAAAATGGCTGCTGGAGCTCTTGCCATCTAGGCTGTCTCCCAGTCAGGGAGCAGGAAGAAGGAGAAGGGGCAAAAAAGCCACTTGCCAACTAGCAACCTCCCTCTTGAGGATCTTTTCCTGGAGTCCTACCTAACAATCTTTGCTGATACGTTTTGGTCACCCCTAACTGCAAGCAAGTTTGTAAAATATTCTTTTAATTGTGTATATTGGGTCCTGGAATAAAACTGGGGCTACGGTTCTAAGGAGGACAGGGAGAATGGATATTGAACAGGCAATCAACAGGTACTGCCACGTTAGCTTAAACAGAAAAGGGCACATTTTGGTTCCCATAAGTGAAAAGGCCACGGGAAAGTGGTCTGACTTAAGGCAAGACCACATCCAGGTGCTGAAACTAAGTCTTTTGTTTCTGCTTTTCTGCATGGGGACTTCGTCTAACCCTGAGAGGGTCCCCAGCAGTTCCAGAGCACATCCTCCTAGATTTCAGTCCAGTAGGAGAAAGAGATTTGTTTGTTTTTCACACCAATTCTGTTTTTTTTTTTTTTTTTGAGACGGAATCTTGCTCTTATTGCCCAGGCTGGAGTGCAGTGGTGCGATCTTGGCTCACCGCAACCTCTGCCTTCTAGATTCAAGCAATTCTCCTGCCTCAGCCTCCTGAGTAGCTGGGATTACAGGTGCCCGCCACTATGCCTAGCTAATTTTTTGTATTTTTAGTAGAGACGGGGTTTCACTATGTTGCTGAGGCTAGTCTCGAACTCCTGACCTCAGACGATCCACCCGCCTCGGCCTCCCAAAGGGCTAGGATTACAGGTGTGAGCCACCGTGCCCGGCCATCAATTCTTTTTTTTATTTTTTGAGGTGAAGTTTTCGCTTGTCACCCAGGCTGAAGTGCAGTGGCATGATCTCTGCTTACTGTAACCTCCGCCTCCTGGGTTCAAGCGATTCTCCTGCCTTAGCCTCCCGAGTAGCTGGGATTACAGATGTGCACCACACCTGGCCAATTTTTAAAATTTTTAATTTTAGTATTTTCAGTAGAGACAGTGTTTCACCATGTTAACTAGGCTGGTCTTGAACTCCTGATCTCAGGTGATCCAGCCACCTCGGCCTCCTAAAATGCTGGGATTATAGGCCTGAGCCACCTCACCTGACCTTTTCATGCCAATTCTATTAAAAATTCAGAACTAAGTGTGGCGGAATGGTGATTCTTTAAGCGGAATAGGGATTGTGTTATCAGAGGGAGAGAGAAGCCAGGGAGGTAGGAGGAAGAGCTACTCACCCCAAATGCAGATGGGCCGTTGCCTCATGGAGGAACTGCCCAGGGAGGGTGGCCTGGGTGCAGGGAGTAACCGGTTCCTGACCTTTGATACCTCCTCTCTGATTCCCTTTCCTCAGGGCCTGGATTGGGTTGCTCTGGCTGCCAGGAAGATTCCAGCCCCATTCCGGCCCCAGATCCGCTCAGAGCTGGATGTGGGCAACTTTGCAGAGGAATTCACTCGGCTGGAGCCTGTCTACTCACCCCCTGGCAGCCCCCCACCTGGGGACCCCCGAATCTTTCAGGTGAGGGGAAACTCATGGAATCTGGATGCAGGAGAGATGAGACGTTGCCGTCTGCCTGACCCCTGGCTGACCGAGGACAGTGCCTAGGCCCTGTGTCCTGAGCCCTGGCTGACCGAGGACACTGCCTGGGCCCTGTGTCCTGAGCCCTGGCTGACCGAGGACACTGCCTGTGTCCCACACAGGCCCTGTGTCCTGAGTGGGACTCAGCATCTCCCCTAGACGTCTCCACTTATAGGGGACCTGGGGTTGTCAGTCACAGAGGCCACCAGGGCAGGATGCGAGTTTGATAGTTCATGGTTTATCTTTAAACCTGTTAATTTCCCTTCTTTTCCATCATCTCTTTATTGTTATGTAAAAATATTGTTTAAAATTATTCACTTGCTGTCAGGTGTGATAGTTCACGCCTGTAATCCCAGCCCTTTGGTAGGCTGACTTGGGTGGATCACCTCAGGTCAGGAGTTCGAGACCAGCCTGGCCAACACGGTGAAACCCCGTCTCTACTAAAAATACAAAAATTAGCCAGGTGTGGTGGTATACGCCTACAGCCCCAGCTATTCAGGAGGCTGAGGTGGGAGAATCGCTTGAACCTGGGAGGCAGAGTTTGCAGTGAGCCGAGGTTTCACCACCGCACTCCAGGCTGGATGACAGAGTGAAACGTCATCTCAAAAAAAAAAAAAAAGAAAAACAATCTTCACTTCTCACATGGACACCTAGGAGGAGATGCATGTTGATATTGTGGCTTTGCCTGCCCTTGGCATAGCACGTTACATTCCTGGGGGAACAGGCCTCTCCACTGACTTTTAGAAGCTCACACCTTTTGGACAAGTCTAAACTCCCTTTGCTTGTCATTGAGGCCCTGCATGATGTGGTCCTTGCCCAGAACTTTAGCCTCAGTTCTCATCATTTTCCTACTTGATGCCCTGGAGGGCAGGACCGAACTGCTCAGCGGTTCTAGAATACACCTCTGTGCCTTTGCACATGCTGTTCCCGATACCTGGAGTACGTTCCCTACAGTAATCTACCTGGCAAGCTTCTGGCCCAGGGATCACCCTTTCTCTGTGCTGCAGTCCTCTATGGACAGCACCTCCTTCTGGCCAGTTTATCATGTTGCCATAATGATATCATATCATTATCACTAAATAAACCAGCATGGTCTGTTTAACAGACAGACCAAGTATGGCTAGATAAGTCCCTTCTGTGAAGCTCTTAGGATTGAGAACTCTGTGCTTGAATGTCCAAATTCCATTGTCTCACAGTCCTCATAAGAAAATCCTTTCTCATGAATTCATAGGTACTTTCATTCATTCATTTAATGATTCAAAAATGTGTAGTGAGTGCCTAAAATGTTCAGGTACTGATCTGGATACTACATTTTTAGGAGACACTTTTAGGAGAAAATGACACATAGTTTTATTTTGTTTATTTTTGAGATGGAGTCTCGCTTTGTCACCCAGGCTGGAGTGCAGTGGTGAGGTCTCGGCTCACTGCAGTCTCCACCTCCCGGGTTCAAACGATTCTCCTGCCTCAGCCTCCTGAGTAGCTAGGATTACAGGCGCCTGCCACCACACCCAGCTAATTTTTGTATTTTTAGTAGAGACAGGGTTTCACTGTGTTAGCCAGGATGGTGTTGATCTCCTGACCCTGTGATCCATCTGCCTCAGCCTCCCTAAGTGCTGGGATTACAGGTGTGAGTCACCATGCCCGGCCAGTTTATTTTTAAAATTATTATTTTTTTAAAATTTATTCATTCATTTATTTATTTATTTTTTAGAGACAGGGTCTCGTTCTTTTGCCCAGGCTGGAGTGCAGCTGGGTAACCATGGCTCACTGCAAGCTCCATCTCCTGGGCTCAAGTAGCTCCTCCCACCTCAGCCTGCCCAATGGCTAGGACTACAGGCAAGTGCCATCACACCCAGCTAATTACATTTTTTTAGAGATGGGGTCATGTTATGTTGTCCAGGCTGGTCTTGAAGTCTGGGCTCAGGCCATCCTCCTGCCTTGGCCTTCCAGAGTGCTGGGGTGACAGACCTGAGCCACTGTGCCTAGCCACAACACACAATTACAATTATCCTTGAAAACTCCTCAAATTGCCAGGCCATGGATCTTCAGGAAAGGCACAGAATCAACTCTGGTTTTCGTTTGCATTTCTTCAGTAGCTCCCCTTGCAGAAGAAGCCCAAGTCTGCCTTGAAAGGGAGGAGGCAGAAGGTTATTTTTCTCAGCAGGTAGAGCTGGATTCTCATAAGCCAAGCGTGAACTTAGGCTATGCTTTCAATACATTCAGTGGTCTTTTCAGTACAGGCGGCCCTTGGCACCTGGGGAGGAAGAGGTGGTCGCTGTGGTGAGAAAGTTGGGGTCACAGGCTGGTGGGGACAGACATGGCCCCAAGTGATTATAAAACCAGGTGGAGGCCGGGCGTGGTGGCTCAAGCCTGTAATCCCAGCACTGTGGGAGGCCGAGCGGGTGGATCACGAGGTCAAGAGATCGAGACCATCCTGGTCAACATGGTGAAACCCCGTCTCTACTAAAAATACAAAAAATTAGCTGGGCATGGTGGCGCGTGCCTGTAATCCCAGCTACTCAGGAGGCTGAGGCAGGAGAATTGCCTGAACCCAGGAGGCGGAGGTTACGGTGAGCCGAGATCGCGCCATTGCACTCCAGCCTGGGTAACAAGAGCGAAACTCCGTCTCAGAAAAAAACAAAAAAAAAAAAAACAAAAAAACCAAAACAAAACAAAAAAATTCCAGGTGGAATAAAATGTGTCCATACATCCTGTGTGTACCAGGATGCAACTGGAAAGCCTCCACTGCCCCCTTGTCCAGGGTCTGGCCTGCCGGGTTCCCCACCAGTCTCCTCACCTGCACCCCAGCCCCCATGCCCACCCTAGGACTCCCGCCCTGCAGGGATACTCCTTTGTGGCACCCTCCATCCTCTTCGACCACAACAACGCAGTGATGACCGATGTGCTGGAAGCGCCTGGTGCTGGAGACCGGCCGGGTCGGGCAGCGGTGGCCAGGAGCGCCATGATGCAGGTGGGCTGGGCTGCGCGGAAGCGCAGGCTCAGGGTCTCTTTGCCTAGATCCACCCAGCGCCGCAGTGTGGGCTCGGTGGGGTCCCAAGCCCCTCCGACATGGGGCGTGGCGGCGCCGCGGGGCTAGCGGGTGGGACCTCTGACTCACCTCCTTCGCCTTCGCCTTTGCCTCCAGGACTCGCCCTTCTTCCAGCAGTACGAGCTGGACCTGCGGGAGCCTGCGCTGGGCCAGGGCAGCTTCTCTGTGTGTCGCCGCTGCCGCCAGCGTCAGAGCGGCCAGGAGTTCGCCGTCAAGATCCTTAGTCGCAGGTGTGCGGGCCCGGGCGGGGGCAGGGGTGGGGGTGTGAGAGTGCCGTCCGGGGGGCGGGGCCGGAGCGCGGCCACCCTAACTCCTCCTGCTCGGTCCCCCAGGCTGGAGGCGAGCACGCAGCGCGAAGTGGCCGCCTTGCGCCTGTGCCAGTCACACCCCAACGTGGTGAATCTGCACGAGGTGCATCAAGACCAGGTGATGGCTTCCGGGCTGGAGCCAAACGCCACGGGCGGCCGGGGGAGGGCGGCCTGGGGAGGGCGGAGAGAAGAGAGGCAGGCGGCGGGGCTTGAGGGGCGCTTCGGACAGGATCTAGGGTCGGATTGGGCGGGGCCTGGGGTCTAAATCGGCCCGAAGGGACCAGGGATGTACAGGAAGCGGGATTTCAGGGGAGTAGGGCCTGAGGACAGCAAGGCAGAGCTGAGGATGGACGAGAAAAGGGACTTTGGCCGTGCGCGGTGGCTCACGCCCGTAATCCCAGCACTTTGGGAGGCCGAGGTGAGCGAATCACTTGAGGTCAGGAGTTCGAGACCAGCCTAGGAACATGGTGAAACCCCATATCTACGAAAAATACGAAAGTTAGCCTGACATGGTGGTGCGCCTGTAATCCCAGTTACTTGGGAGAGAGGCTGAGGCACGAGAATCGTTTGAGCTCTGGAGGCAGAGGTTGCAGTGAGCCGAGATCCAGCCACGGCACTCCATCCTGGGCGACAGAGCCAGACTGTCTCCAAAAAAAAAAAAATAATAAATAAAAGAGAGAAAAGGGACTTTGAGGAGGGGGTGCTCGAACATGGACGGGGCCTGAGGGCCGGGCGCCGGGCCTGGGTGGTGGGTGGGGCCCGCCACGGTGGGTGGGTGGTGACCGTGGCCCGTCGCACCGCGCGCAGCTGCATACGTATCTGGTCCTGGAGCTGCTGCGGGGCGGAGAGCTGCTGGAGCACATCCGCAAGAAGCGGCACTTCAGCGAGTCCGAGGCGAGTCAGATCCTCCGCAGCCTCGTGTCGGCTGTGAGCTTCATGCACGAGGAGGCGGGCGTGGTGCACCGCGACCTCAAGCCGGAGGTGGGCCAGGGGCCTTGGCGGCGGGGCGGCGCTGTGGCGCCACGGGCTCCCTCTGACCACCGCCCCGCCGCCCTTGCAGAACATCCTGTACGCCGACGACACGCCCGGGGCCCCGGTGAAGATCATCGACTTCGGGTTCGCGCGGCTGCGGCCGCAGAGTCCCGGGGGGCCCATGCAGACCCCCTGCTTCACGCTGCAGTACGCGGCCCCCGAGCTGCTGGCGCAGCAGGGCTACGACGAGTCGTGTGACCTCTGGAGCCTGGGCGTCATTCTGGTATGGGACGCGGGCCTTGAGGCGCGGGCAGGGTCGCTTGGGCCTGGGGTCTTCCTGATGTGGAGCAGCAGGAGGAAGGGGACAGGGGTCATCTTGGTGCGGGCGGCTGGGTTTTGTCTGAGGCTGGGACGGGGGGTGGATCTGACACAGAGTCAGGGTCGCTCTGGTGCTGGAGTCGGAGCATCCGTGTATTAGGGGTTAGAAGTCAGGGTTCATACCGGCCGGGCGCGGTGGCTCAAGCCTGTAATCCCAGCACACTGGGAGGCCAAGGCGGATGGATCACGAGGTCAAGAGATCGAGACCATCCTGGTCAACACGGTGAAACCCCGTCTCTACTAAAAATACAAAAAATTAGCTGGGCATGGTGGCGCGTGCCTGTAATCCCAGCTACTCAGGAGGCTGAGGCAGGAGAATTGCCTGAAACCAGGAGGTGGAGGTTGCGGTGAGCCGAGATTGCGCCATTGCACTCCAGCCTGGGTAACAAGAGTGAAACTCCGTCTCAAAAAAAAAAAAAAACAAAAAAGAAGTCAGGGTTCACCACCCGTGGGCCTCGGGAGTGGCCTGGGTCGGGGGTGAGTGGTTCTGTGGGAGTTGAGGGGTCAGCCTCGGCCCCGCAGCCTGGGCCGGTCTCATCTTCCCCTCACCCCTTCTAGTACATGATGCTGTCGGGGCAGGTGCCCTTCCAGGGGGCCTCTGGCCAGGGCGGACAGAGTCAGGCGGCCGAGATCATGTGCAAAATTCGCGAGGGGCGATTCTCCCTTGACGGGGAGGCCTGGCAGGGCGTATCCGAGGAAGCCAAGGAGCTGGTCCGAGGTGCGGAGCTGGAGGTCACAGACCATGGCTGGGGAGGGGGACGTCATGTGATTACGCTGGGACAGGGATGGTCCTGGGTCAAGTGTCCTGGTTGGGGATGGGCAGGGGAGGAGAGTGAGGCTGTTACGATCTCTTTGGGGCTCAGCCTTGGCGCCAGGCTCCTCCCCACACTTCCCTGCCTCGCTTCCAGGGCTCCTGACGGTGGACCCCGCCAAGCGGCTCAAGCTCGAGGGACTGCGGGGCAGCTCGTGGCTGCAGGACGGCAGCGCGCGCTCCTCGCCCCCGCTCCGGACGCCCGACGTGCTCGAGTCCTCCGGGCCCGCGGTGCGCTCGGGGCTCAACGCCACCTTCATGGTAAGGGGCGGGGTTTGAGGAAGGGAAGGGGTGGCCGGAGTTTCGAGAGGTGGGGCCTGGGGAGGCGGGGCCATCGGAGCCCAGAAAGGGGAGGTGCACTGGATTCGGCCTCAGGTCGGTCTGGAGGCCAAGGCCCTGTCGGCCTTGACCTAGGCGGCTGGAGGCAGGGTCTGGGAATCGGGGCCAAAGCTAGGATCTGGAAGCCGGGGTCAGGCGGGGATGGGGACACTCAACCTTTCCTTTCTGCCAGGCGTTCAACCGGGGCAAGCGGGAGGGCTTCTTCCTGAAGAGTGTGGAGAACGCACCCCTGGCCAAGCGGCGGAAGCAGAAGCTGCGGAGCGCCACCGCCTCCCGCCGGGGCTCCTCTGCACCAGCCGCCCCGGGCCGAGCCCCCGCTGCCGCCAAGGGGGCCCCCCGCCGAGCCAACGGCCCCCTGCCCCCCTCCTAATCCCCACCACTGTGACCCCCTTCCCTCACTGGGGCTGTGACCTGGGAGCCGGGCTCACTACCGGAGGCCTCTGCCAGCGGTGACCTGATCCCCAGGGACTGTCCTTCCTTCCTACCCCACCCCACTCCCAGACAGAGCAGAAGTATTTTTATAAGCAGAGAATTTTTTTTACCGGATAGAGTTAGAGATGCAGGGAAGGGGGGGCCTGCTGGGGAGTGGGGTTTGGGGGGCCCTCTCCCACGACACTGCCTCTTCTGGGCAGAAGGCCCCTCCGGGGGCACTGCTCCAACAGGAAAGGGCCCCTCCCCCACTTCTAAGCACTGAGTTAGGAGTGCTCACTCCTAAGCTGGGACCCCCTCCTCTGTTCTCCGTTGAGGCCCCTTTCCTGGGAGGTGCACCCCTCAACTGTCACTTTATGGACTGTCTGTGCAATTACGTCCACCAAAGACCTGTGTTGGGGGGACTGAGGGAGAGGCCCTGGGGGACCCCCTGAAGCATTTCTGCCTCACTTTATGTCATCTGCTTCTCCCCTACTGGGGCTAAGGAAGGAGATAGGTGGTCCCTGAAAGCGGAGGCCCCCTTCTCACCCACCGCCTCCCCTTTGGCACAGCTACTCCCGGCTGGGGGTGGGGCCTTGGGGATCTGGGCTGGGCATCCACGGTCACTGCCTCAGCCCATCTAGGCTGTGCCTTTAACTTTAAAATAAAAGTCCACCCAGTGCTGTCTGTGGCATCTGTGTGTTCGCGTTCGTGGTGTGGCTGTCTGTAGCAGAGATCCTGGGCAGACAGCTGCCAGCCGGTGTAGTCTGGGATCTCAGTGGGGAGGCACAGGCAGACCCTTCTGGACAAGAAGGTATTCTTTGTTCCTTGGCTTTTGCTATGAGCAGTAGGAGGGCGCCACTCTCATCCTGGGTGTATGTCTGGCCAGCTCTGCTGGGCATCATTTAGGATTCTCTTGCTTGTAAATACAGCTGCTTCTTGACTTAGGGTGGAACTGCATTCCGATAAACCCAACCTAAATAGAAAATGCTGAAAGCCGAAAATGCATTTTTTAATGCCTGCAACACAGCAGACGGTTCCCGACTTAGGATCGTTTGATTTACGGGCTTTCAACTTTACCACGTGCCACAGCGATAGGCTTTCAGTAGAAATCATAAATGGTAAGGAGTTTCCTGATTTACGATGGGATTACCCATAGTAAGTCGAAAATTTTGTGTCCCGCAAAAGTCAGTCGGGGACTGTCTGTAACAGAAAACCCAACCCAAACTTGCTTAAGCAAAACACAGGGTTTTAGGGGGCTCTTGTAACTACGCAACTCCGCGATAGCTTCGGGCAAGACCTAATCCGGACTCAAGCACATGATCAGGACTCAGCTGCCGACTCTCAGCTGTTTATGGTTTTCTTGGTGGTGGTCCAGTCTGGAGGACTCTCCTTATGGGCTCAAGACGGGTGCCAGGCGCTCCAGGGGATCCAGATGGAAATCTGGAGATGGAAGCTGTTTCACGGTTCCCAAGGGAAGTCCTGAGATGTGCTCTGATTGGAGCCACTGAGGTCAGGTGCCCACCCTGAACCAATCACTGTGGCCAGGGAGGCAGTGTGCTGATTGGCTTAGATCTGAATCATGGCCTCCCCTCTGGAGGCTCATTGGGTGAAGAGTAGGGAAGGGGTGGGCCTTGGAGGGCGGTCTCTTGAACCTGGTGGGTGGTCAGTGAGGGTGGGAGTGAGCGGAATAGCAGTACTCATTAGGGCCCTCCCTCACTGGGATCCCAGAGTGCAGTTCCACTCGGGGAATGTCTGAGACTCCTCCCTGCGTGATCCGTGCGAGGTGTGTGTGTGTGTGTGTGTGTGTGTGTGTGTGTGTGGTCACAGGGTGGTTGTGGTCCGAGCACCTTTGCCGGCGCAGCAGGTCAGGGCCTTTTGTCCACACATGGGGATGTCCTGACAGCTCCCCCACCCTGGGCCGCCTCCCCATTGCTTCTCTCCCCATGGCTACTCTGTGAGACCATCTCATGTGGACCTCCCCTCCTGCCCCCGGGAGGCCTGGGAATCTGGTCTGGGACCCAGGGGTGCCCAGGTGAGGTGAACCAGGCAAGCCTTGTGGGCCGGTGGGGCCCCAGGGAAGTGGAAAGGGCAGGAGGGAAGAAATTCTGAGCCTCGAATTCTCACTCCTGTGTTATCAGCTGTGTGACTCGACATCACCTAACAGCCCCCGCCTCCCACATTTGTAGAAAAAAGGAACCAGAGAATTAACCGATGTAAGAGTGTGGTCACTCCGTCACTAGGAATTTATTGAGATTTACTGACCTTTTCCAATGTGTAGGGACCCTCCTGAGTACTCTAGGTGGGAATCTTATTGAAGGAGATGAAAGTGTCCCATTTCATCAGATACTCACAAGCACTGAGTATTACCTTTGCTAATTGGGTGGATACAAAATAGTCTCTCATCTTCAATTTCTTCACTTCTCATTCCAGGTAACTCACAGCCACCCTATGAAAGAGGTATCCTTAGCCTCATTTCTTTCTATTAATTAATTAAGCTTTTATTAAAAAAAATTTTTTTTTGAGACGGAGTCTGGCTCTGTTGCCCAGGCTGGAATGCAGGAGTGTGATCTCGGCTCACTGCAACCTCCACCCCCTGGGCTCAAGTGATTCTCCTGCCTCAGCTTCCTGAGTAGCTGGGATTACAGGCACCCACCACCAGGCCTGGCTAATTTTTGTATTTTAGTAGAGGCAAAATACAAAGAAATTCTGTATTTTTGTATTTCACCAAGTTGCCCAGGCTGGTCTTGAACTCCTGAGCTCAAGCTATCTGCCTCCCAAAGTTTTGGGACTGCACGTGTTAGTGACTGTGCCTGGCCTAAGCGCATACTTTTTTTTTCCAGACGGAGTTTCGCTCTTGTTGCCCACGCTGGACTGTGATCTTAGCTCACCACAACCTCTGCCTCCTGGGTTCAAGTGAGTCTCCTGCCTCAGCTTCCTGAGTAGCTGGGATTACAGGCATGGGCCACGATGCCTGGCTGGTTTTTTTTTTTTTTTTTAATTTTTTTTTAATTTTTAGTAAAGATAAGGGTTTCTCCAGGTTGGTCAGGCTGGCCTGGAACTCCTGGCCTCATGATCCACCTGCCTCTGCCTCCAAGTGCTGGGATTACAGGTGTGAGCCACCATGCCTGGCAGCATATGCTCTAAAGTGAGGAAGAGCATATGGAATCCTCGAGGTTAGGCTTTTATTGATGAACTGGAAGGGCTGGCCCTGGGGCAGTCTTCCTGCAGGGTCTAATTGGCTGGAGCAGAATATGCTGTCACAACTTTCCAGGTGGCTGCAGTCCCTGTCACTCCCTGTGGTTACACCAGCTCTGTCCTGCATTCATCCCTCTGGCCCTCTAGGCATTTGAGTTTGTGACTGATATAAACAGTCTCTTTCCACAGTCACTGCTGCACAAAAACAGGCTTTGTGAAATGTCAGAGATGCCCCTTAAATCTTTTATTTTTGGCCAGGCGAGGTGGCTCATGCCTGTAATCCCAGCACTTAGGGAGGCCGAGGTGGGCAGATCATGAAGTCAGGAGTTCAAGACGAGCCCGGCCATGGCAAAACACCATCTCTACATAAATCAGCTGGGCGTGGTGGCACAGGCCTGCAATCCCAGCTACTTGGAAAGCTGAGGCAGTAGCATCTCTTGAACCTCGGAGGCGGAGGTTGCAGTGAGCCGAGATTGCGCCATTGCACTCCAGCCTGGGTGTCAGAGTGAGGCTCCATCTCAAAAAAAAAAAAAAAAAAAAAAACTTTTATTTTGTTCTAAAATGTAAATGTAGTTTGTATTTATGAAAAGTTGATAAGTTTGGCCAGGCGTGGTGGCTCACTCCTATAATCCCAGCACTTTGGGAGGCTGAGGTGGGAGGATCCCTTGAGCTTAGGAATTCCGGACCAGCCTGGACACCATAGTGAGTTGAGATCTTGTCTCGAAAACAGATAATATATTCATATGATTCAACATCCAAAGGATCCATAAGAGTACGTAGTGAAAAATGCTCTTCCGCATGCTGACCCTCAGCCACAAACCTGTTGTCGCCAGAGGCAGCTAATGTGACAGGTTCTTGTGTAGTTTTTCAGGAATATTTATGTGTAGTCACAAATATAATAATATGTATGTATCAGTAAAAATTCCCATTAATTAAATGTTAATTTTAGAAAAAAATTAGTAAATACAAAAGAGATTAAAAAAATCACTCACGGCATTACTCTCCATAGATAATCTGTGTTAATATTTTGGTGCATTCAATTATTTTAGTTTTTTGAGATGGAGTCTTGATGTGTCACCCAGGCTGAAGTGTGGTGGCACCATCTTGGCTCCCACTCCCAGGTTCAAGTGATTCACCTGCCTCAGCCTCCCAGGTAGCTGGGGTTACAGGTGTGTGCCACCACACCAGACTAATTTTTGTATTATTAGCAGAGACGGGGTTTCACCATGTTGGGCAGGATGGTCTCAAACTCCCGACTTCAAGTGATCCACCCGCCTCAGACTCCCAAAGTGCTGTGATTATAGGCATAAGCCACTGTGCCCAGCCTGATGCATTTACTTCTAAGTTTTTCTTCCTTTTTTTTTTTTTTTTAAATTTTTGAGGCGGGGTCTCACTCTGTCACCCAGACACGAGTGCAGTGACATGATCATAGTTCATTGCAGCCTCAACCTGCTGGGCTCAAGCAATTCTCCCTCCTCATTTTTTGATTTTTTTTTTTTTTTGTAGAGATGGGGTCTCACTATGTTGTCCAGGCTGGTCTTGAACTCCTGGACTCTCAAAGTGTTGGATTACAGTTGTAAGCCACCATGCCCACCAATTTTCTTTATTGATGCAGATTTTTAGTTGAAATGGCAACCAAATGTAAGTAGGTTATTATAGCCTGTCTAAAGTCAAAAATAGATTGCGAATATCTTTCTATGTCAATGACTATAGTTTACAATTATTCTTTGTAGCTGTAGAGCGCTTCATCGTATAGGTATGCTGTGATTTATTTAGATTGTTTCTATTTTTGGCTACAGCTCCTTGCTATTTTAAACAGTGCTGCAGTGAACATCCTTGCAGCTACCTCTTCGCTCACCTGTTCAAATATTTCCTTAGGATACATTCCTAGAAGTCGAGTTAACAGGCTAAAGGAGGAGTCCTTGCACGCACATTTTAAAGGCTTTTGACATACGTGATCACACTGCCCTTCAGAAAGCTCCTCTTGTTTTAGATGACTTGCAGTAGCACGGGCCAGGTCCAGGAAGACTGTCTCCTTTAAAATGAAGTGGCAGGCCTCGCCAGCGGACTGTGTCCTTGCCCTCGTTTTTCTTGGCGGAGCTCCTGGAGGCTGATGCGGGAGCGGAGGCTGTCCCTTTCCTGTCCTGCAGTCCTCTGCAGCCCCACTGAGTCTGCGATGTGGTGAAGGGTGTTGTGGACCATGAGCAGGGGGTGAAGGACAGAAGTTGTGGATCTGACCTTTGTCTCTGCGGAAATGGGCTGGCAGAGTCTGCTTGGGGGAGAGAGAATGACCCCAGGGGTGTGTGGAAGAGTTCCCAGGGAGTGGGCATGCTTGAGGGCAGGGAAGCTGGGCAGCGGGGAAGCTCCCCAGAGCTTCCCAGAAACATGAGCTGAGCCGCAGAGTGGCTTCATACCAGGGCTGTGCCCCTCCTGGCTGTGTAGTTGTGACCAAAGCCACTTGGGCTTGAGTCTCCGTGGCCGCTGGAGTGAAGTGGG